TACTGAATATGGTGCTTGCGTCTGCTTCAGCTGCTCAATTGAATATCAAAGCTGCATCAAATTCAACACAATAAGATCCATTAAAAATGTGGAAGGATTTGATCAGCGCGTTGTACAAGCGCTCATGGAAAAATTTCGACGAAATATGCGATCTTTACATTTTGGGCAAAACTCATGAGGACGTGTTTTCGTAGGCTCGTAACTCGGCGAATTTCACAGACTGGAGCCTGAGTTATGCACCATTCGATAGCACAGTTCCTAATAACTTTAAGTGAGAAAAGCAAGCAGGCAAGGTTTCTGACAGATACGCGAGAAGTGCGGCCAAAGTTACGCACTTTCGTGATGAAGTTACAGTCACCTCACCGTATCTCTCCAAAAAGACCCTGTAATCCTCAAAGACCACGATTTTCGTAAAGAGCGTGTTCGAAAACCTCTGTGAGCGAAGTTTCCTTACAATTCAGGAGCATCAACATTTTGACCAAAATCCATCGGCGAACTTCTGAAGCGTAAAACGAGAAAAAATAGAATAACCCGAACATATCGGAAAACTTGCTCACAGAGGTTATCCGACCTGCTGATTTCGAAACTCACATCTGCTTAGCAAGATAGCTTCGTATCCTGCGGCTATGGCGAGTAGAATTTGGGACGACAAGATTTTTCCACAATTCACCAGCCGTTCTATTTCCGAAAAGAAACCTGCGGCTACTATTTAGCATATCATAATCTACAGAAAAAGTGCTATTGAAAGATCCTTGCTGGAATGTACTCGGGACAATGCTCCCTGCTTTACACCTTCGCGAAAAGACGTCCTCAGAAAGATTCAAGAATACTGAAATCGAAATATCAAGGACATGCTGTATATAGGAAGATTCGCCTTGATGAGCTGAGCAAGGCGCTGCTTTCGGATTCAAAATATACTTATTCCGAAGGAAGCTGTGGCGGGTAGAATTTAGAAACGCGTGATTTTTCCAAAATTCACCAACGCTTCTATCTCCTTTGGAAAAAAGTCTGAGCCTATTTTTTAGTGCACAATAATCTACGAGAACAGTCTTATTGAATAGTACTTAGTAAAGTCTTCTATGTTGGGTAGGCGTTGCTTCACATAATCGCGAAAGGACCTCCGCAGAACAAATTGAAAAAACTGGAAACCGAACATCGAAGACGTCGTATTCCCACTTCCAATATATCACAAGATTCTCCGCACCGAGCTGAATCGAATGGTGGCTTTGGATTCAGAATTCGTCCACTCTGAAGCGAGATATGGCCACGCGACGCTGATGTATGGACATGTACGGACATGTACGGACATGTCCGTACATTCGCGTCTATTTTTCAAAAAATGTGAGCGGTATTGTATACAAGCTACCTCATTCAATCCTCCCGTAATACTTTAATTTTGGCAGCAAAAATTAATTTGCAATAGCGTCTGCATATATCGCATCTTCTGTATAAATTTGCACATGCACCACCTTAGGGAGTTCTTCAAGCAAGAAGAAGTATAGAAAAATAGCAGACACATAAATTTTCCTTGAAGTCTGAATACCCTGAAGCATGTACTCCTGCTGCTAATATGTGATCAAGTAGGTCATAATTTGGCAATGTTCAATGGGGCAAAAAGACAACTGATAAATGCTTGAAGAAGAGAAGTAAAGACGTCAGCCAACAACCTTTAGCGCAAACATCATGGACTCTATAATGGGTTCTTCAAGGCTGGCTACATCGTTTCGTGTGCCTGTCGCTTCACATTTCTTTCTCACCGCTTCTATCGTACACCGGCAGATCTTTGGCACATCAACTGTATCACTTGCACACAGAGTACTCGCCTTTTCCTGAGGGCTGTCGCTCAGAAACATCATTTCTTCGGATGTGCTTAGGACCATGTTTTGTAGTACCAAGGTGCTAAAAATGACTTAAGGTGGCTGTGAGAATTCCTCTTCATCACCGCAAACTCGGTAGTTTACGCTGTGCTTCAGAATTCGAAACATCATGTCATCTGACCCTGCGGCGTTACTTGCGAATAGTTCTAAAACAACTTTGCAAGCCAGGATCAAGCGTGTTAATGCGATCCGGGACCCCTTTTTTACGACCCCTCTCCTTCCTCCCCCCCCCACTTGAAGGTACCCATCCGTACGACCCTCTTCTTCCACCCACTTCACCCTCTCCCCTTTATTCCTGCTCTTTTGCGGTACCTGCATTAACGATTGTCAGAACAACGAGTGCTAATAGACCTCCACCAAAAATCATACGTCAGAGGAAGAAAAAACTATATACAAGTTGAGATTTAGCAATCCATTACTAACATTTACACAAATAATGGATTGCTTAAAAACCTAAAAAAATCTATGTGAAGGAGGCAGCAGGAAAATTCTACAAAGAATTGGCCTGTATCGTGGTTTTGAAAACATATGGGAAGGACATCGATTTACGGAGGGGACATCACTTCTAATCTGATACCGACATTCAAAGTGTGACTTGCCTAAACGCTGAATTGTAAACAAGAAATGAAAACTAGAGCGTTAGTTCCGAGCAAAATAACAAGTGAGAAAAATACAGGAATGCAGAGCAACCCGCTTCGGTCAATATAATTGATTCATCATAATCTATTTTCTAATGACAGGTAAGCAATTCTTCTGCGTTTCACGAGTGTTTGGATGACTCCTTCATGTTAGACTTCATTATGGCTTTGGAACTAACATTCTAGACTACTGTGATGATGGTCTTGAATTTGATCGCTGTATGCGACACCATTTCTTACAGAAAGAAATTGCCATTTTTGAAGCGATGGTTCTGTGATTGAAAAACTTTTTCCAGTTTCTCGCACAGATTATTCTCGCGATCAAAACCATTTTAGCGTTTTTTTTTGAACGCTGTCAAAATCGTGCATGAGCACGGTGCTTTGACAATTCGTAACCTAATTCTAGGAAAGGCTAAGAGGCTCCATTGAACAGGTTTTGTAGAATAGTGATCAGACAAATGAAGAAAAAAGTTCCAGCCGTTCACGAGCAGTGAGCTCGACAAAATTTAGATGCCAAATTTAGATGGATGCGATTGTAAAAACAAAAACTGGGATTTTTTTACCTTAAAGCCTCATAACTCACTGCAGACGCAACGAAGCAGCCTGAAATTCTCAGGATAGAGAGTGGGAGGATGGCTTCGTAGTAAAACAGAACATAAAATCATAACAAAATCTACAGGTCATGAAATAAGACTGAATGCACAAATGTATAAAAGCATCCTTACAGTATCTAAATTGTACGGGCCCATGGAAAAAAATAAACAAATTACAAATTGTTGATGGCCGCGTTGGTAGAGATATAAGCTTTTGTCGAGTGCGTGAAGCCTCACTGAAGTTTTAGAAACAAAACTTCCAGACCAATCATTATATAAAACACTAGCTGGCTTACCCGGCTCCGCCGTATCCGGACCAAACTTGGCACACATACACTTCGAGCCCCGGCGGGTGTCACAGTCCACTTTTCGTTATCGATCGATGTCGATTTTACCGATTTTTATCGATTTTTTTGCAGAGTTCACCTACAGGGCTAGGAGTTGGCACAGGGGGGGAAGTGAGCATGGGGATTCCGAATACAATATTAGTTTTCAGAATTATCGATTACTTTTATTGATTTTATCGTTTTGTAAATTTTGACATGCGAGGCTGGGATTTTGCACAGGGGGTAATCGAGCATGCTGATTACGAACACAATATTAGTTTTCAGGATCGTCCATTACTTTTATCGATTTTATCGATTTTTTTGTAAAGTTCGACCTGCGGGGCTGAGAGTTTGCACAGGGGGTAATCGAGCATTCAGATTACGAATACAATATTAGTTTTCAAGATCGTCCATTACTTTTATCGATTTTATCGATTTCTTGAAAATTTGAGCTAGGGGGCTGGGATTTGGCACAGGGGTGTAATCGAGCATGCTGATCGCCCCCACGGGGATGATCAGCATGCTCGATTACACCCCCTGCCAAATTCCAGCCCCCTAGCTCAAATTTTGCAAAAAAAATCGAAAAAATCGATAAAAGTAATGCACGATTTTAAAAACTAATATTGTATTCGGAATCCCCATGCTCACTTACCCCCCTGTGCCAACTCCCAGCCCCGTAGCTCAAATTTTGCAAAAAATCGATAAAATCGATAAAAGTAATCGATAATCCTGAAAACCAATATTGTATTCGGAATCCCCATGCTCGATTACCCCCCTGTGCCAACTCCCAGCCCCGTAGGTGAACTCAGCAAAAAAATCGATAAAAATCGATAAAATCGATATCGATCGATGACGAAAAGTAGCCTATGACACCCGCCGGGGCCCGTAGTGTATGTGTGCCAAGTTTGGTCCGGATCGGTTCAGAAATGGAATTTTCTATTCGGAACATACGTACACACATACAGACAGACAGACAGACATACAAACAGACATTCAGCTTTATATATAAGATTTCTAATACACATACAAGCCTTTGATAGTGTTTGAGCTTCTGAATGTGTTTTTTTTTAATTTCAGTCATAGTTGGGGCTAGCAGGTTCGATCCCCGTCCGCGGCATCTTTTTAGCGGGGAGAAAAATGCCAAATTTGAAGCATAAAGTTTGTAGTGCCCCTCTTACGCCCCCCTCCCCCCACCGTAGGTGCCCCAGTACAACCCCCCCCCCCCTTCCCCCCGTTGCGACAGTCGCATCACACGCTTGATTCTACTTGCATCTGCATTTAGGGGGGGGGGAAGGAGAGGAGGAGGGGGAAGGATTTTCTTTCCATTCCATTGAATTCCCTTTCATTGCTATATCACTGGCTGTCGGTATTGATTATGTACCAAAATCTCCAGTATTTTTGCCATCCCTTTGCTTCCGTGTGATTTTGTTCATTTACCGCGTTAACGAGCGCGATAAATGATCATCTGCGTCGTTAATTTCAACGCTAATTTCACACTATATCGTGAATCTCTGTCCTTCCTTCAGCCTCGGATATGAGTGTTTTAAGATTTTCCTTCATGTTCAGGTAGTCGGACAGGTTTGCAATTTGTCAAGAAGATCTGGACTGCGTCCCTGTTTTCCCTGATAAGCTCAATCTGCCAATCGGATCCGCAGCTCTGTTAAGCTCATCTAACTGTTTGATTCATTTCCAATGGTGAAACCCCTTCGGAGTAGACTGTTTCCAGCAAAATGTTCAAAGTATTTGTGTAATGTGAGTGCCATTATAACTTTTTCCCGCGCATTTTTTCACTTGCTCACATTTTCGGCATAAGTGCGTTGTTTTTGCTTTGCGACTCTAAGCTTGCTTCGCGTGAGTGTCGCCAGAAATGTTGGCCTGGATTTTTTGCTAGTAAGGCGTCCTATCATATCAAGATTTTGTGAAAAACCGAACATTCAGAATTATGCAACGAAAACCAAACGTATTTACTGCCTTGTGCCAGCATTTCACATATGAGAGTCTTTGTATGATTGTGCACCGTGTTGACCACATTGATGCTTTTATCTTCCAAGATTCTCACCAATTATCTCCGAGCGAATGATTAGTTTCACTGAAGTTAAAGATTGGGGCCGCTTAAAAATAGCAGAGCTTTTCAGTAATTTACCCTCTCTTCAGCCTATGGTATGGTATTTCTATGTTCGTTAATTTGCCACTGATGGTTTTATTGAATAATTAGGCAAGCCTTTATAAGTGTTTCCGATACTGCACAAATGTCATATTCTTACCAACTTTACTTTGATTTCCAGAAGAGAGGAAAGGTGAGGTTTGTTTTATCAGATCAAAGAAGAGCATTTTCGTCAAGTGTGCTTATAGTATCATGGCTGTTCATCCAAATTACCTGTTTTTCAAAGTAGGAACGAGCAATAGCTGTAATTGAGTTTTGAATTTTTACAGAAACTTCTTTTATTACTGGAATTGCAAAAACGTGCAGTACTTGAAGCTGAGCTTCAACAATTTGATAGTTTGCAATGTAAGGATTGATTTATGTAGTGGAACGCGTTGGGTCGTTGACGATTTATTAGAAAAGCATAAAGGTTCCCCCTGTACACATCGGCGTATATGCCGCGGATTCACTAAGATCAGTTCAATAATAATACAATACAAATAATACTAAGATCAGTTCAACAACACGTAAACATATTAAGGTGCGGAGGGTACGCCGCAGACGCTTAGGTCGCCTCAGCCTTAGCTATCAATAATGAGCGAGTTCTAGTTTACATTGAACAACTCTACGACACCTTCCTAAGATGAAGAACGGTACATCTTAAAACGAGGATCTACTCAAAGACGTTGTGGTGGTCGACGATTCGGCTTGATCTAGTTGGAATTAGTGACGTGGTTGAAGTTGCTTCTCAGACAATCGCCGGGGGCAGGCGGGCACCGGAAAAATAGATTGCTGATCTCTCGCATTCCGCTCGCAGATTTTTTGGAAAGCAATCAGGACTTTTCGGAAGACGGCTTACTGAGTTCTCGATTCCTCAGAGATTCAGCAATATATCTGCAAAAGATAAGAGCGAAAAAAATTCAACAGGCGGTCTCTCAAAAATCCGCTGACTCAGCAAGCGGTCTTCCGAAAAGTCCTGATTGCTTTGCAAAAAATCCGCGAGCGGGGTGCGAGAAATCAGCAATCTATTCTTCCGGTGCCCGCCTGCCCCCAGCGATTGTCTGAGTTGGTGTTTAGCGACTTCCTTTGAGCATGGGGCAGATGAGTTATGACGGTGCTCCATACTTGATCCACTGCGCATCTGGTCCGCGTGTCGTCTCCATAACTGCTTATCTTCCGTAAGCACATCATATACGGCTTCTCCATAGCGTTTCTTCACGTGGGCTGGAATCCATTTTTCAAATCCAGGGCGAAAATCACGTACCCACACTCTTCTTGTGGTTGGTACGCTTTCTTCCGTGCTCCATGATGACGGTGAGACTGCTTCTCCATGGTTTCATTAGCCAGTTTTCCTTCTTCTTTGAAATCTTCATTTGACAGCGACAGCAATGTCCTCATCTGATGTCCCAGCAGCAGCTCGGCCGGCGAACGTTGTCCGGGTGAACTTAAACTGTATAGGGGTAGAGGCGAAACAGGCGTAAAGAACCCATCTTATTAATACTTACTATTTACAAGGTGTTCGTCGATAGCACTGCAGGAACTCGGCAAGCTTCTCTGTCGTTCCTCCCTCCTTAATTTTCAGGAAGGTTCTCTTGAAGATATCTACAAACTTCTCCGCCCGTGCATTTGAATGTGGATGGAAAGGGGGTGAACGCATGTGCTGGATTCCTCGCTCTTCACAGAAGTTTTGAAACTCCCTTGCTGCGAACTGCGTTCCGTTATCCGACACGATCACTCGCGATTTCCAAATCGAACGAATAGCAATCTAAATTCCCTTAGGGCAGCTGTAGTTGACGATGAAATCATCTCAAACATTTCTGGCCTTCGAATAATCGTCAACTACCACGAGATACATCTTACCATTCAGCGGTCCCGCGTAGTCAATGTGAAGACGATTCCATGGTTTGTCTTCCATGTTCCATGAAGGTAGTACAGTCTTCACTGGCATCTTGTGTAAGATCACAGCTCCAATTCCTTAATCTGATGCGTCGGCAGCTACCACTATCTGCAAGCTAGGATCGAAATGCGTGAGGAGTAGATCCGAGGCTAAAATTTCCTTAGCACGCTTAAATGCGTTTTGGCATCCCTCTGTCCATACGAACCTTGCGTCCTTTCTGAGCAACGCGTCCAAGGGTGCCCGAAGTTGCGCATCTCAGCAACAATCCATAATAATTTATCATGTCCAGGAACGAACATCCGCTATGTTCTTCGGAGCTGGCATTCGCTGGATGACCTCAATCTTCTTTGGGTCCGGCCGGCGTCCGCTCTTGTCGATGATGTAACCTAAGTAACAAATCTCTGGCATCAGAAAATTGCATTTTTCCAACCTCACGTGGAATCCATAGTTCTTGATCCTTTTGAACAAGGCTTCCAAGGAGCTGTGTTCTTCACAACTCCTTCCCGTGATGATGATGTCATCAAGATAAGCGGCTACTCCGTCTAATCCATTATTTGTTGGAAAATACCTGGCGCGGATTTCACCCCAAAGGGTAGGCGATTGTAGCGATACAATCCCTTGTGTGTATTGATAGTCGGCATCTCCCTTGATGCTTCTTTGACTTCCGCTTGCAAATAAGCTTCGGCTAAGTCAAGTTGGGTGAAGAGCTGGCCTCCGTTTAGTTTTGCGAACACCTCTTCCGCTGTGGGTTATGGGTGCTGATGCAACTGCAATGCATCGTTCAATCCTGTCGAGAAGTCGGCACATAGACTAATTTTCCCGTTCTTCTTCTTGACAGCAACTATCGGTGCGGTCCACTCTGAGTGTTCGACAGGAGAAATTACTGCTTTGGCTACCAAGCGATCGATTTCGGTTTCCAGTTCCGATGCTGGAGCGTAAGGCACCGGTCGCTTCTTCTTGAAGACTGGAACAGCATCGCTTTTTAAGATTAACTTTGCCTTACTCTTCGTGCACTTTCTGAGGTCGCTGTTGAAGACTTCCCCATACTTCTTCTTCAAGTCGCGACCATTCGGCTCGGAATTTCTCTTCGCTAGTTCACCTTTCTACAATGGTAGTTGTCCCTGAGCTTTTTGTATGCCGGCAGCTGGATGCCTTATAGTCCTAGTAGATTCGAGCGTTCGGTGACGTAGCATGTGCCAATTACATGAACCATCTTCCCTGTAACTCGATCTTTGAAAGTCGGTCGAGAATTTACCATGAATCTGCATCGGCGTTCCGTCTGCGGTTTACACAGGCATCACACAGGGTTTCAGCGTAGGCGATCTCATCTTCTTCCAACCTCTACGCGATATCAAGGTTATGTCTGCATCCGTATCCAGCTGGCGCTTGAGAGAACATCTTCTTACCACGACGTCGAGGTATGCGCGCACTCTCAGCGTCGAAAGCGATTACATTCTTGCACTGTCGTTTGCGACCAAAGTGTTTTGCACCTGTCCCTCGTCGCTTCTACCGACTAGTGCTGCCAGATCTCTTCTGAAATGTGGTCCTCCGCATATGAAATACTTCACCTTTTTCTTCCATACAGCATGGACGCGCGTGCCTTCCATGTCTGTATTATCCATTTTCAGGGCAGTGAAGTTTCCACAGTCTGCGACTAGATCTTCGATTGTCAGGGGTGCTTCTTCCGTGTGAGCGCCCATTCGACGAATATCCGCAGGCGAAGTTCCCCAAGTGAGGGGTCTTGAGGACCTGGTACAACTTGCAGCGTCTTCATCGTCTGTAATCGAGCTCCTTGAGGCGCGCATCCTCGTCCATCCTCTTGATTGTATTGGCGTACTCGCGAAACGGTACGTACGCTTTTGTAAGCGGAGGGCACGTTGTCCTTAAACACTCATACCGTCTTCTAATGAGCGTCTTCTTGGAGGCAAACAACTTCTGGAGATTTGCGACGGTGGTGTCGAAGTCCAAGTCGTTTGGTTGCGCAGGTAGGACCTCATCGGCATACTTCCGGTATGCTTCTTCATCCAGCTTCATAAGGATCAAGTCGCGCTTTATCTGATCCGAAAGCTGGGAGTCTCGAATGACCGGTCCGTACCGGCCATACCAGTAAGCAAAGGTGTTACCTGTTTCTTCGTCTGGGGTAAATCTCTGCACGTCCTTGCTCAGTTGGTCATATTGCTCCTTGCCGGCATCCTGGACGGTTACCCTTTGGTTACTGGTCAAAGCGGTGACCAACATCTTCATCTGCTCCTGTTGTGCTTGCAACTGCACCTGCATTTGCTCCTGTAGGGCTTGCAATTGCACTTGCATCTGCTACTGCTGAGCTTGTCATTGTGCTTGCATATGCTCCTGTTGAGCTTGTAGTCGGGCCTGCATCTGTTCCTGTTGAAGCTGCATATGCAGCTTCATCTCCTCCTGTTGGAGTCGCATCTGATCGACCACGACCGATAGGACCTTCTCCAAGGAGTCATGGCCATGCCGTTCTTCACCACTAGCTTTCGGCATGGTAGACTCCCAGTGCGACGATTCTCCTAAATCGATAACTTCCTAGTAAACCTCACTTCCTTGCCCCTTTACCAGTGGTGGCTGCCTCCTCGATTTGGGCTGCAGCACTTCTTCTTGTCCTTGATCGATGGAAGCTTTTGGTCCTTGGTCGTCGGAGCTTCTTCTGATTTTTGGTCGGTGGAGGCTTCTTCTGGCTTTTGGTCGGTG